TTTTTCGGCATTGCTAACAAAATAGCAACTCGCCCTTACCTCTACTCTTACCATTACAAGCAAAAGGAGAGTTCAACAAAAGGTGCGTTTAGTGAAGCTACGTTTACGCCCAGAAGCAAAACAAGGGGCCATCTCAGCATTTGCTCAATGGATCAGGGAAACTGGACAAAACCTGATCGAGATGGGGCGCAAGCAGTACCGAGGACGTAAAAACCACACAATAGAATTGCTCAAAGTCTGGAAAGTAGACGTGAAATTTAGCGATAAATAAGTAAAGGAAATGAAACTTTGTTTTGGTGAACATCACGCGGATCAACGGCTGACTGATGGTGAACCAAGGGCTGAAGGGTAGTACTCGGTACAACTCCCGGAAGACATTTAAACCGGCTCTTCGCACCGAACCGGCGGCAACTGCGCAGTTTGAATTCTGGAGGCTTTCTTGAAAAGTGATGTCTTAGAAAAGTGAATTGGTAATTATTCGGTGGATAGGCTCAAGGATGTTTACAGTGAACGCGAGGACCGAAGGCCCGAGCCTCGCCGTGACTTGGATCCGAGCGAGCGAAGCGAGAAAACTTGCCTTTGAAGTTAAATTGGCGTTACAATGCGGCGGGAACAAAGCGTATGAAGGTCGAGACATGAAAATCGCCTATCCGTAATTTCTATCAAAGCGCGAAGCGTAATTTGAGGGAGGAATTAAGAAGACCCCTCCTCTCCACCACGCTTCTCTGAGAGTGTACCGGATACCCTACTTTAACAGAACCAATTTTTTTTTAATTTGTTGCGACACTTAGACGCATGTTACAAAAGTAATGTCTTAATTTCTGCAGATTTTACGGAAAAAAATGTCGACTCAGTAATTGTCATTGCGAATTTGTTTAACGAATAAAATCTCTAAACTAAGATCTGTTAAAGATCTTGCAAACTTATTAATAACTGAGCATTACTCATTAATCATTATTAACAAGTTTTCCCGGAGGGCGTACAGTATTAACAAAATTTCGTATCCCAGTTGCCAGCGCCGATATAAATTTTTCAAAATTAAAGTTGATTAAAAATTATTTACGAAGTAGGTTGGCATAACACAGTCGTTTTAAGCGTTTTTTCAATTGACCACGAAAAAACCACCTGGTTGAAAAATAGTATTTCTACTAATATTATATTGATAAATTTGTAAATGCGAAGAAAATATCAATATTAAAATTTTATTTTGCATGAAATTGCAAAAATTATAATTTAATGTAATTGTTTTCACTCCGAAAACTTAGTTTCTAATCACGAACTTAAATTAATGACATTTTTTAATTAAGGGGCCCCCATATTATGTCGGTCCACGGAGTTTCTCTTACTTCTCTGTCGGTCCACGGGGTTGAACTTACGTCACTGGTTGATTATCCCAATTTGGCGTGAATATGCAGCATCTTCAGTTTTGAGTAAAAATCACTGGGCTGAAATGTAGTATACGGTACAACCTAGGGAAGTCGTTTAAACCGGCACTTCGCGGCGTTCCGGCATTAACTAGGCGGTTAGAATTCTTGAAAAGTGATGTCTTGTAAAAGTGAATTGGTAATTATGCGTTGGATAGGCTCAAGGATGTTTACAGTGAACGCGAGGACTGAAGGCCCGAGCCTCGCCGTGACTTGGATCCGGGCGAGCGAAGCGAGAAAACTTGCCTTTGAAAGTAAATTGGCATTACAATGCGGCGGGAACAAAGCGTATGAAGGTCGAGACATGAAAATCGCCTATCCGTAAGTTTTACTCATTTCTATTAGAGCACGTACAGTAATTAGGGCTTAATCCCCGCCGCAACGCTTCTCTAAAGGTGTACCGTATCTAAATTTTAACCAATCACTGAATAACTTACGTGATCCGAACACAATTATTGCACGTGGCCACCGAACAGTCTCTCTGCGCGCAAACGATTATATTTCCTGTCCCTACTGTTTCTTTCACAGAATACGAAAGTACACTCATTTTCGGTAGCCCTAATAAAATGACTTTTTCACTAAAACTGCTTTTTTTAAACACAGATTCACACGCGATCGATACTTGGATCGTCTGCACACACCCTTCTCACAGGCGGTTGCCAGTCGAACTGGTTTCCCGCTTGTTCCTACGTCATTTCCGGTTCCTCCCCCCCCCCCC